TAGGTGTAACCCTGGATTCTGAACTATCCTTTCAGGCCCACATCCAATCCCTGTCCAAATCATGCCGCCTCAACCTCCGCAACATTTCCAGAATACGCCCCTTTTTAATCAATGATACCACAAAGCTCCTAATTCACTCCCTGGTAATCTCTCGACTTGACTACTGCAACTCCCTCCTCATTGGCTTACTTTTACATAGGCTATCCCCCCTCCAGTCCATCATGAATACTGCTGCCAGGCTAATCCACCTTACCAACTGTTCAGTGTCTGCTACCCCTCTCTGCCAATCCCTCCACTGACTTCCACTCAGTGTCCTCCACCCCTCTCTGCCAATCCCTCCACTGGCCTCCACTCAGTGTCCTCCACCCCTCTCTGCCAATCCCTCCACTGGCTTCCACTTGCTCAACGAAAAAAATTCAAAATACTAACAACAACTTACAAACCCATCCACAACTCGGCCCCCGGCTACATCACCAACCTGGTGTCCAAATATCAACCAAACCGCTCTCTCTCGATCCTCCCAAGACCTTCTGTTCTCTAGTTCACGTGTCACCTCCCCCCATGCTCGCCTCCAGGACCTCTCCCGAGCTTCTCCCATCCTATGGAATTCTCTACCCCAATCTGTCGGACTGTCTCCTAATCTATCCACCTTTAGACGATCCCTGAAAACCTTTCTGTTTAAAGAAGTCTATCCTGCTTCTACCTAGTAAACCACCATTTATTTCCTCCATCAGCTCATCCCCCAACAGCTATTACCTTTTGTATCACTCAACCCTTCCTCCTAGATAGTAAGCTCCCAGGATCAGGGCCCTCTGTTTCCTCTTGTACCAAATTGTATTGTAACTGTAATGTCTACCTTCATTTTGTACAGCGCTGCGCAGACTGTTGGCGCTATATAAATCCTGTATAATAATAATATGTGTCTCACCTTTTTGGGTCAAAACAGAGGGGAAGGATATGTGACATTCTAGCCTTCCCACAGTGTGAAAAGGATTTGGTATCACCCAAGGTTCTCACCAATGTCAACTGAGGAGCTTCAGGATGCCTAATTAACGCAGAGGAAACTATATTTCCAGCTTTCTCCAGGATTGGCAAGTCCTGGTCTCTGGTTTCAGGAGCTCAGATGCTTTGTAGAGACATGGTGGGGATAAAGCCTCCAATCTTGGGTTGTTTTTTCCAGCACCCTGGTAGTGTAGGCTTTTTTTTTTTTAACTGTCCAGCCCCTCTACCCATTTAAACACTTGACCCCCAGAGGGTTTTACCCTCTTCATGACCAGGGCATTTTTTTTTTCGCTATCCAGCACTGGCGATTGGGAACTGCCAATACCCCCCCAAATGTCAGGACGGGACAAATACCCTCCAAATGACCCCTATTTTGGAAAGTAGACAGTCCGAGGTGTTTAGTAAGAGGCATGGTGAGTTTTTGAAGCTGTAATATAATTTTTTGAAAAATGAAAAAATAAATTGAATGTGGGGGTTTTTGTTACAATTTTTGTGTGGCAGTGATCAGGGATACTGACCGGTGACAGTATTTATTAAAAAAAAAATAATTTTTTATTCAATTATTTAAATGTTTTTTGTTTTTTTGTTTTGTTTTTACCATTTCTCACTTACTTTCATCATTGTAGGTTAGCGTCACCACCGTACTGTACTACTCTGGGGGTAACAATAAATTCAATGTGGGGGTTTATTTTATGTTTGTGTGGCAGTGATCAGGGATAGTGACCGGTGACAGTATGTGTGTCAGACCCCCAGTCCTTCTCACTAACTTGTGACCGACGGACTAGCCAATCTAAAACCGCGCTGTCACGTGCGTAACAATGCCACTCTCAGCTGCACCCTGCACAAAGATTTTCCAGCTCACTGGACCACAACCTATGCGCCGCAGCCTGAGAGTGATTGTTACTGGGTCAGGTTAATTACGCAATTAACCCTTCACACTGCCACCACCGCCTTTTTGTACAGAGAAGGAGGAAACTCGCCAATCTTAGCAGTAACACTATGATGTTTGAATAAGCGTCTGTAATACATACTACCACCGCAGACAGATGTATGCAGAATTTTAAAAACACACAGTAGCGCTCTTCAGAGACAGGGGTTCTTAGTTTGCATTAAAGAACTTTAGAAACAGTTCAATACTTTCAGAAAGTAAGATTTATTACTAAAAAGGGTCAAAATGGTGCAATAAAAATATTTACAGAAAAAGATGTAGCCAATATATATATATAAATACAGAGAGCAATAACACAACAGAGAGATAACAGAAAGAAGTTTAGAGAAGTAGAATACTTTCCAGAGTCCTTGGTTTAAGCAGATCAAGTGTCCTGAACAAAAGGGCACCGTTCTCCCAAGTTGGTTCCTAATGTTAAAAAGGGAGAATCTCTCAACTTACTTCTCCAGGCCTGACAGCCTATTTTGTAGTTCCCCAGCAGGGGGTGTCTTTGAAGCCAAGGGCCAATTGCCTCATTTGGGGAGGGGGATTTAGGCGGAGACCCAAGCTAGGACCGAAATCCCTCCCGAGTTTATACCAGGGTCAATAACCTTCCATAGGTACATGTAGCATCCTATCCACTGGCAGGATAATATGAAGAACGATATTCTGAACGTCCAGACATCACATATGACATATCTGCTTGTGACGGTTAAGGAGATATCGCTTTCTGCTCTTGGGCAGACGTAATCTAGGGGTGTAAGGCATCAGGTGACTTGTATTAAAATGACCTCTCTGAATATATGTCTTGTTTTATTGTATGTATTTCCTATGAGAAATTATGAAATTGTATTGGGATGCAGGTTTTACTGCTATTTCGGAATGCTTTTGAAGTCCAGTGACTGACGGGTTTATAGCGTTAAGATCAGTTTCAGAGCAAGAGTCTGCCAGACCCCATGGCATCAGCTAATTGGGTTTACAACCATGAAGGATATCCAGTTGTGCCCTGTTCACTCAGCACACACGGACCACATCATTCAACAGAAAGGGAGGGGGGAGCTGATTTGGAGTGAGAATGACACAAATGACAGCAAAATGGATGTTCGCATCCATATTTGTATGTACAATTGGTACAGTATGTATTAAAAAAAACAATAATAATAATTTTTTATTCAAATATTTAAACGTTTTTGTTTTTGTTTTTTTTTTTTACCATTTTTCCATCACTTTCATCAGAGTAGTTCAGCGTCACCACCGTACTGTACTACTCTGGGGGTAACAGTGATGATCACTGGTGCTATATAGTCAATAGTTTTCTCTGTCATGATGGCTTTCCATTCATGACACCATACTCACTGTTGACATGCTGTGATTAGCTACAGCTAATCACATGGTACAGTTAGCCGGGTACCGTGTGATAGCTGTGGGCCAATCACATCATCACAAAACAATACATAATGTCACCCCTAATCAGCAAGTGCCTGCGATCTACCGGGATGTCACCTGGCCTGGCTGCTCCGCCCACCTGCAGTAAAACATACTGTAGGCGGGTGGCAAGCGGTTGAAGCATTCGCACATGCACAGAATTATTTTGAAGATGTAAAATGTACTGTTTGTGAAACTGCAACTACGGGGGAAACGCGACCTCCTCCTCCTACACAATGGACGAATTTCTCTATGATCAGACATGGCTAATATTCTAGCTAAAGAATGAAACAAATATAATGAAAAACAACAGACTGGCGGCATTTTAAAATTTATAATGAAGAAAAAACAAAAGAATGAAAAACAAACTTAAAATTGATGAGCATGGGCATAATTAAGCATACGCCAGGGCAGGGGGGGGCTGTATTTGCCCCTGAGTGTTCCGTCCATCTCCGTGTAGGCAGTTCCATCCATGTCAGTTGGGTTGTAGTGGTGGTACGGACATTGCTACAGATCCCAAGCCGTGTGCATGTTGGGGCGGGTCATCTGATCTCCCTGGACCCCGCATTCACTATATCCGCTCTCCCCAGACCCCACGTTCACTATATCCGCTCTCCCCGGACCCCGCATTCACTGTATCCGCTCTCCCAGGACCCCGCATTCACTATATCCGCTCTCCCCGGACCCCGCATTCACTATATCCGCTCTCCCCCCCCCGGTCACTATATCGCTTGGGAGGAATAGTGCACCATCGTTGGTGTCATTGGGAGGAATTGTGCCCCATAGTTCATCCCCTGTATGGTTCTCTCTGCAGCAGCTGAATGCCAGCGGAAGGGAGAGGAGAAGAAGCCAGCCTTCAGCTGCTGCAGAGAGAGACATACAGGGGATCAGTTCCAGTAATTGCCCTCCAGTGCCGATCACCCTCCCTGCCCTCATCCAATTCACCCAGCTCCTCCCCTGTAGGGTTCTCTCTGCAGCAGCTGAAAGCCGGCTTCTCCTCCTCTGCATCCCACTGCCTTTCAGCTGCTGCCGAGAGAACCATACAGGGGATAGGTTCCAGTAATTGCCCCCCTGTCAAACCCATCACCCTCCCTACGCACATCCAACTGGCCTGGGTCCTGTACAGGAGGACTGGTGGTACCCCATTATCCACGGCCCTGCCTCCAAATGTTTTGTGGACTCAACAGTTCCACCTGTAAATTTCGCCCTAAGCTAATTACTGAACTCCTCCACTCTTCCTACCACTCCATCCCCCACAGCTATTTCCTCCTGTACCACTATCCCCTCCCTCCTAGATTGTAAGCTCCAAGGAGCAGCACCCTCTAACCCCTCATGTATCGAATTGTATTGTTACTGTGCTGTCTCATGTACTGTCTCCCTTTGTAATGTATAGCACTGAGCAAACTGTTGGCGCAATATAAATACTGTATAATAATAATAATAATAATATCGTACATTTCTCAAAAGACTCAGCAGGCGGGTCGCCTCTATCTCAGAGGGTTTTTTTTTTTTTATCTATATAAAACATTTCCCGCACTCTGAATGCATTGAGGACGCTCGGCGGAGTGTCTTTTCTGGTGTCTAACAAGGTTTCCTTTAAGATTGAAACATCTCCCGCACTCTGAACAAGAATAAGGGCGCTCCCCCGTGTGAACCCTTTGGTGTTTAAGAAGGTCCGCTTTTGTGGTGAAAGATTTCCCGCACTCTGAACATGTATAAGGACATTCCCCCGTGTGAATTCTCTGGTGTACAACAAGATTGGGTTTCTGAGTGAAAGATTTCCCGCACACTGAACAGGAAAAAGGACGCTCACCTGTGTGAATTCTCTGGTGTTGCACAAGGCTTGTTTTCGTAGTGAAACATTTCCCGCAATCTGGACATAAATAGGGACGCACGCCAATGTGAATTCTCTGGTGTTTAACAAGGTCTCTTTTAAAGATGAAAGATTTCCCGCACTCTGGACATGAATAGGGGCGCTCACCCGTGTGAATTCTGTGGTGTCTATGAAGTTCTATTTTCCCAGTGAAAGATTTTCCGCACTCTGAACAGGAAAAAGGACGCTCACCTGTGTGAATTCTGTGGTGTTTGACAAGGTATCTTCTATTACTGAAGGATTTCCCGCACTCTGAACACGAATAAGGACGCTCGCCTGTGTGAATTCTCTGATGTTCAAGAAGTACATTTTTCTGAATGAAAGATTTCCCGCACTCTGAACAAGGGAAGGGATGCTCACCCGTGTGAACTTTCTGATGTACAATAAGTTGTCTTTTGCGAGTGAAACTTTTCCCGCACTCTGAACATACAAACGGACGCTCACCAGTGTGAATTCTCTGATGTCGAAGAAGGTCTTGGTTTTCAATGAAAGATTTCCCGCACTCTGAACATGGATAAGGACGCTCACCAGTGTGAATTTTCTGATGTAAAGTAAGTGTTTCTTTGTTAATGAAACATTTGCCACACTCTAAACAAGGGAAAGGACGCTCACCGGTGTGAGTTCTCTGGTGTACAACAAGGGATTCCTTTTTAAAGAAACATTTCCCGCACTCTGAACAATGGAAAGGTTCGCTCATCCGTGTGGATTCTTTGATGAGAAACCAGGTCTGCTTTCCGAATGAATCTTTTCTCGCACTCTGGGCATGAAAATGGCCGCTCACCTGTGTGAGTTCTCTGGTGTATAACAAGTTGTCCTTTTTGAATGAAACATTTCCCGCACTCTGAACATGAATACGGACGCTCACCGGTGTGAAGTTTCTGATGTCTTAGAAGGTTTTGGTATTTAGTGAAGCATTTCCCACACACCGAACATGACAATGAACGCTCTCCTGTGTAAACCCCCTTATAGCCTAGAGAGATTTCTGGGGATAGGATGGATTTGTTGATCTGCCAACACTGTGAGAACTTGGATGGACATCTGCAGTCATAGTATGGGATCTATCAGAAGGTTCCTCAGGATCAGAAGGATCCACTGATCTTAGGTGGACATCTGAAGTTATAGTATGGGATCTATCAGAAGATTCCTCAAGATTAGAAGGATCCATTGATTTAACCGACCAATAGGATTTGACTTTTGGAAAATATTGTGGAATGTCAGCATCTTCTGCCTTACAATCTGGAGATATAATAAGATATCCCTCCGATGTATTTATATTCCGAGAACACTGTCCACCTGCTGGAAAGCAAAATTTAATATATATTATGGTGAAGAATGGGACTGATGAACAGAGATACAGAGTTCATAAAATGTACAGCTGTGGTGGTAAAGACAAGTTATATGGGGCCTCAGATGCTACTTCTGACATGTAGGTGGACCCTTCACCTGGTGTCCAGTATCTCCTCATTTGTTGGGAACGTGACGTTATATTGAGGAAAGGAGATGGACCTTTCATATGGTGGCCAGTATCTCCTCCTCATTTGTTGGGAACATGACGTTATATTGGGGAATGGAGATGGACCTTCCATATGGTGTCCAGTATCTCCTCCTCATTTGTTGGGAACATGACGTTATATTAAGGAATGGAGATGGACCTTTCATATGGTGTCCAGTATCTCCTCCTCATTTGTTGGGAACATGACGTTATATTGAGGAATGGAGATGGACCTTTCATATGGTGTTCAGTATCTCCTCCTCATTTGTTGGGAATATGATCTTGTATTGAGGAATGGAGATGGACCTTTCATAGTCTTCCATGGGAACTTGTTCTAGCAGACTGGAAGAGCTTCTAATATTTGTAATACGAATCATTGTAGAATATTGATCTGAATTTATTTGCCTTTTGGAATGAAGAAGGAACTCTATAAATGTTAATTAATTATAGACAAACTTTATGTGGCTTTTCTGCCCTCCTCTTTATCAACTGCTTTTTTGGATTTTTTTTCTCAAATACATGCTTTATACTTAAATAGTATTATACTTAATTAGTGTTTTGTTACTTACTTGTGTCCATATGTAGAGAAGATTCCTCCTGTTTACTTTTCATAATCCTCTCCCCCTCCATAGACTGCTGATCTCCACGCACCAACATCTCTTCTTCTTTAAGATCAACTTTGATGTCTTTCAGTTCTTCATTCTAAACCCCAAAGACAATACAATATAACATCTGGACACACTGCTGCCAATAATAATAGATTACATAGAAGAATGTCCTCTCATAGAATTATTTTTGAGTTTTTCACCCAGTCCCATCTACCTGATCATTCTCTGTACAGTTCTGATGTTCCTGTGTAGAATTCTGGGAATACAGAGGACAACCCTTCTCCATAGACTGCTGATCTCCACTCACCAACATCTCTTCTTCTTCCTCTTTAACTTCAACCTTGATGTCTTTTAGTTCTTCACCCTAAACCCCAAAGATGAAAGAATACATTGGAAAAAAGGAGCAGGAGATGACATGCAGGAATGCCATCCCATATCACAAACACATTTTAGGTCTACATGCTCATTCCCACCTACCTGATGATGGTGAGGGATGATGTGACCTTCCTGTGTGGAATACAGAGGATGGGGACATCTCTCTGGTGGGTTCCCATGACTGGATCCATCTGTAGGGAACACACACACTAACTGAATCCATTGTGTTTCTATGTGTTTATCAGATGATGGGGGATCTAGGTGGACCCTCCGTACTGCTCTCTCCTTTACAATAAAGTCTCCTCTTACCCGGTGATGTGAGGGGTGGCTGATTGTCCATTATGACGTCCTTGTAGAGGTCCTTGTGTCCTTCTAAATACTCTCACTCCTCCATGCAGAGATACACCGTGACCTCCTGACACCTCACAGAAATTCAGGAGATATAATTAGGATGTATTTGGTCTATAAACCAGAGGCCCTGGATGGACGGTTGGATAAATGGTTCTATATTTAGGATGTATCCGGTCTATAAACCAGAGGCTCTGGATGGACGGTTGGATAAATGGATCTATATTTAGGACGTATCCGGTTTGTAAACCAGAGGCTCCGGATGGACGGTTGGATAAATGGCTCTATATTTAGGACATATCCAGTCTGTAAACCAGAGGCTCCGGATGGACGGTTGGATAAATGGTTCTATATTTAGGAAGTATCCGGTCTATAAACCAGAGGCTCCGGATGGACGGTTGGATAAATGGCTCTATATTTAGGATGTATCCGGTCTGTAAACCAGAGGCTCTGGATGGACAATTGGATAAATGGTTCTATATTTAGGACATATCCGGTCTATAAACCAGAGGCTCTGGATGGACGGTTGGATAAATGGTTCTATATATGTGAAATGTATCAATATTATAAACCAAAGCAGATGTCACATGTTGGGTTCTGAGGCTAACTGAATTCAGATAATGCACAGAGTGTAGTTACCACCCTAAACAGCCACAGAACCTGTGTAATTAATATATGTTCGGTTTTAAAAGATAAGGTGGGAACCCTATAGTGAAATGGAGGAAGAGGACAGGCGTGACGGTGGAGGAAGAGGACGGGCGTGACGGTGGAGGAAGAGGACGGGCGTGACGGTGGAGGAAGAGGGCGGGCGTGACGGTGGAGGAAGACGACAGACATGACGGAGGAGGAAGAGGACGGGCGTGATGGTGGAGGAAGAGACGGCCATGACGGTGGGTTATTGGGTGTAAATAGAAAATCAGATCTTATTACCTCCTCTGCTGCCAGTTCCAGCAATGTATCTTCTCTACTTCCATCCAACGCCTCTTTTACTAGGAAAGCCCTTTTTATGCTTCAAAACCACTTCCCGTCTGTACCCTACTTCGCTTCCTATGTATACCTTACATCACTTCCTGTCTGTGTGTCTCACATGAGATCGCCACCTTGTGTTGAATACAACTACTACAGTCTACGGTACGTTTCATCATTTTTCCCATTTCCATGTGGTCCATTCCTCCACTTTCCATCCATGATTACACATGTGGATTATATCTCAAACTAGAAAAGCTGCAATTTCTGGGAAAATTGTGTGAAGTGTTCTTGCCTCCACCAGTAGTCTACAACTGGAGTGGGTGGAGTAACTGGGTGGAGTGGCTTGTCACTCTGCTGCCTGCTCACACACCTGGGTTCCTATGGCAACTCACTCTACAGCAAGGGCAGAGAAGCGCGATTAAAAACAAACTGCTCTAACTTGCTCACTTCACTGGCGGTTGCCATCTTCAAATGGTTGTAGTTTAAAAATTATAAATCCTACAACGAAGAGCTTTATATTGTGTATTGAATCACAAGACCCAGACCTACATTTTGATGCATAGTATGCCTCTGAAATATTAAAAATGAAGGCACAATCGCAGTTTAGAAATTGCCCTTTAAATTTGAGGTGGATAGAAATGGTCATATTGTGAAAACTATAAGGACTATGGCTTAGCCGTGGACATTTTTAGTGGCAGCGGGGATAGCTGAACGTTTTGATATAAGATTTGTGTAGGTGGGCTTAAAAATGAGGGAGTGATGGCAGTTTAGAAATCATGTCCTGATTTTTCAGCTCACACTCTAGCTTTTGTCAACTCCCACTCTAGTTTTGAACATTCCGCCATTCATTCCTATGGGACCAATTTCACCACAAAAATGCCAATATTTCATGAGCCATTCGGCGAAACGTTCCACAAAGTAATAGCACACCAATCAGGAACAATCCGCACGTTTTGGTATATTACTGTCTATATAGTGTAAAAACTGTGGGAGGAGTTAGGGTGGTAAATTTGGCTATAATAACAATATATATGTGAGATAACAATAAGTGGTCTTGCCATGCAAGAACACTTAATAAGAGTCAGCCAGGTTCAGCTGGGAGAGCACTATTTCCATAGCAACTGAATAGAGTACAGAAGCTGCAATGAAAATGTGACCCCCAAAAGGCGTGTGTGTTCATCTTCCTGCAGGGAGTCACCAGAACAGAAGGGAAGAGTTTCTCTGTAAAGAGTATTAAGAATGCAGTTAAGGAAATTTACCATATATGAAAAGATTGATGAAAATGTTCCCGTGTTTAATGGAGAGCCATAGGCTCATGGAGAAGGAAATGTTCCCATGTTTAATGGAAAGCCAAAGGCTCATGGAGAAGGAAATGTTCCTGTGTTTAACGGAGAGCCATAGGCTCACAGAGAAGAAAATGTTCCACTGTTTAATGGAGAGCAATGGGCTCACAGAGAAGGAAAGGTTCCCATGTTTAATGGAGAGCCATAGGCTCACAGAGAAGGAAAGGTTCCCGTGTTTAATGGAGAGCCATAGGCTCACGGAGAAGGAAATGTTCCCGTGTTTAATGGAGAGCCAAAGGCTCACGGAGAAGGAAATGTTCCCGTGTTTAATGGAGAGCCATGGGTTCAGGGAGATGGAAATGTTCCTGTGTTTAATGGAGAGCCATAGGATCACAGAGAAGAAAAATTTCCTGTACTTAATAGAGAGCAAAAGGATCACAGTAAAAAAACGTGGAAATGCCCTGAGATGCTGCCTGATTGTTTAGACAACCTTGTCTTATTTCTCTTGAACCTTTAACCTTCTGCTCCTCACATGAACTTCCTATTTAAGCCATACCTTTTGCACTTCCTGTTTGCCAGATTATTGTGCTCTCTCCAGCCAATACCTCGCTCTTGTCACTCCTGCTGCTGTCTGTATCTTCACTACTACTCCTTACCAACCTTTGGCTTGCTCCTCAATTACGCTCCTTCCGCGTTCTTGTGCCAACATGCAGCAAAACCCATCTCGCCATCAGCTCTGGTGAATACCGGTTAGTACATAGACCCTGAACCTCGGGTGAACCCGCG